GCAGCATGAAGTTTCTCGCCAAAAATATTTGGCGCGACATTTGGCGACTTGAGGGCGCATATCAGAGTAGTTCCACCATGTACACGTCGACTTATTTTTACTTAAAAAAACATCCCAGAATTACACAAAAATGGCATTGCGCACACTCTTCACTATATCCATGTACACTGCTTTTTTTCTCATATATTAGAAAAATTTCACGAAAATACATGACAATTTTCTGAATCTTTAATCCCGGTGAAAAGAACATATATGAAATAACCTGATCGCGAAAAAGTATATACCCTTTCCAAATATGAACATTTCCACATATAAAATAAATAAAATATCCAAAAACTTTTACCTCTAAATCATCATCTATTATATTATAAACATCACCAACGAATTCATACCGCAAGCATTACAAATACTTAGTGTCAAATATTTAAATTATTTCCATGCACGTTTACTTCAACTAAAACGTATACCAAATTCCTACAAACATAAAATTCACAAAATAACTATCATTTAATTAAAATATCACTAAACCATGTACACATCGACTTATTTTTACTTAAAAAAAATCCCAGAATTGCACAAAAATGGCATTGTGCACACTCTTCACCATATCCATGTACACTGCTTTTTTCTCATAAATTAGAAAAATTTCATGAAAATGCATGACAATTTTCTAAATCTTTAAACTCGTTAAAAAGAACATATATGAAATTACCTAATAACGAAAAAGTACATACCCTTTCCAAATATGAACATTTCCACGTATAAAATAAATAAAATATCCAAAAACTTTTACCTCTAAATTATCTATTATATTATAAACATCACCAACGAATTCATACCGCAAACATTACAAATACTTAGTGTCAAATATGTTAAAAATTATTTCCATGCACGTTTACTTCAACTAAAACGTATACCAAATTCCTACAAACATAAAATTCACAAAATAACTATCATTTAATTAAAATATAATTAAATTCAAAAACACTACTTAAAATATAAATAAACACATACATTAAATTAATAAAAATTAGCTACAATCCTAATTACTTTAAACTAAATCATTGCTAATAAACAATTTTCCCCCAATAATACCAAATTACTTTACTTCCACCTTACATTTAGAACAATGCATAAAAATAATATCCTCAAATAATTAAAAATACTAACTTACCTAATCTTCTTCAGAATCTTGCTTACATGGTGGATACACTTTAATTATGTATTCAATAAAATTACTGAACGATTTTTTCTGCGAATTTTTCCTCCACACTTTCTCTGCTAAATAAAAAGTAAAATTCTCTTTATCACAATGCCTCGGAATGGCGCTTTTTATAGCACTCCACATGCCCTCTATTGTATTGGTATGTGCACCTGTTTCTGGATCTTTAAAATAATATTTGTGGTTCACAGCAAGATGTTTAAAACCTTCATCTTCCAAACATTCATACGATTTTTCACTTTAGACAGTCCATACAATCCCAAAATTATTCAACCCTACTTCACACAACACACAATGAAGCTTAATACAAAATAATATACAGCCACAGATATTTTTCCAAATTCCCCCCTTTTCCGATTAAAGAACCGTAATTCGTCCATTAATATCACATGACATATCCCAAGATCTCTCATTTCCCTCACACAAAATAATGCGTAATTGGTACTGAGTACTGCTCACATTATTACCAAAGTCCCAGGTAGTAACTTTTATCGCCTCCAAAATGTCGCCAAACTACCAGTTACCATATTCTAAAGATCAGCCAAGTTGAATTTGGATACTTTTTATCAAACAGGAATATGAAACTTTTTCAAAAATTTACACTATCACATCTGTTATATTTCCCAAGAAAATTCTTAGTTCAAAAGAAGAAACACATACTTTTTTTGGGTGGGTCTAATATTACTGCCTGTGCTTGTCATCAATAAAAAAAAGTTATTGCTACAAAATTATTAAAAAAAAGATTTCAGCTACAAAATTATAATGAACTAATACTTAACAAAGCACCTAAATTCCAATGATGATTCAAAAAACAATATACAGACACTGAAATGAATACATCCTAAAGGTTTCACAAGAAATCTGCTGTTTGATAACGAAGTTTCGAGCTTCAACAATATGAAAAATTCACTGCCATGTTATATTATTCATGGACTCAAAATTTAGTTTGGGTCATACCAAAATTCTACAAACTTACGATACAGAGTAAAATGTTAACAAAGCCTTCAGGTACTTCTTCCTTTGATGTAAAACATGAAGAAAAGTCAAATTGTTGTCAAATGCCACTTTTGATAATTGAAGCTTCTAGAAAGGTTGGAATTATTAAATCTTCAACATGGTTTTCTCCTAAAATTGAATACAGCTTCTTCCTATGTCAAAATTATACATATCCTTAACCTAAGAATTCAAATCTGTTTTCACTCAACACATATAACAATAAGCAATTAGCAACTGTTGCAGCATTTTAACACCTTGGGAGTTACTATGCAAATCATTAAAATAAAAGCTTCATTCAAAGCAAAATTAACTCCCAACACATAAATTCAACATATAAACAGTATGCATCTTATCAGATAGGCTAATCTATTTTAGTCTGAAAACCTTCAAGTTAATTCTTGACAAATAATCATAAGCTGTCATGCAACATGATTATGTCTTGATTATATAAGTTGAAAAAGATACCATGTTCTTAACTTCAAAAGTGTCCTCCCCCCCCATCAAAAGAGGACACTTAAATGGATGCAACGGGTATGAATGCAGACTGACCTAAAAAGCAGAACTAGATTTCTTCCAAAGGAAACTTGTTTCTTCCAAGGAAGTGGAAAAAACTGGAAAAAAACAGAAGAAAAAAGAAGGAACCAGAAGAATCAATATAATAATAAAAGTTTACCTTTATTTCAAAATATATGTTTTATTATATGCATAAAAATGCAAAATAATAAATAATTTTGCCCAAAAAATTTCAGTGAAAAGTGTGGTATTCATCCTGTTTGTTTACTGATGTGATATTTCATTGAATACTTTTTTTCCAATCATGCTGGCCTTTAAGAAAATTATCATTTCAACTTAAAATTTTGTAAATGATTTTTTTTTTTTTTTTTTTTAGTTTAAATTTATATAATACTGTTTAGGAATATTTCAATGTTTTAATGATAGTTCTTGGCAAAAGAAGCTCTACTCAATGTGAAAGATCTTGTAGGAAATATAACAAGTACATACTATTATTGAAGAACATTATTGCAGCATACAAATATGGACATATATATATAATCAGAATACTCAAAATGATTAGAAAATAAAATGCTTTATATCAATAAAAAATAATTATATTGATATGAAAATAATAAAAAATCAATTTTTTTCCAGCTAATTAGCTTTACAACAGAAGAAACTTGCCAACTCTACCAAGTTCACCATCTCTAAATCCTGATGCCCTTTGCAATACATTTTGAATCATGTATAGCAGAAAAGAATATGTCCTTTCTAAAATTTCCCACGAATAATGTAATTTATACGAAATTGAAATTCATCAGGATTAAGCCAGATCTTCTCCTTTTCTGAATTAATCAGTTTAAAATTATAAAGAAAGACTATTGCAGTTAATAGCAAAATATTTTCTGTTCTATAACACTATTTTTATGGTGATATAGATTCAATTCCATAATTTTCTTTTTTTGAATTGAACTTTGCTTTCTTTCTAAATAATAATGCTATTTTGCTATTTATGATATTGATATGAAATGCAATTCAATTTCAGAACCTATCTAAATTGACATATATGAAGCCAAACCTTGTAGCAAGTACAAAAAAATACTTGATTATATATCCACAAAAAGTTATTACAAGTCTATAAATGAGGCTAATTAAATTACATAAAATTTAAATATTTCAATTAGTAATATAACAGTGCTATATAAGAATAAAATATTTTTTAAATTACCAACTTTACAAAAGTGCTTTAAGTACTTCAAGTTAAATCTGCCAAAGATCACTTTCCTTCAAAGAACAACTATCATGCAAATATTTTCTCTCTGAAGAGAGACTTGCTGAATATAGCACTTTTCTAAGATTACGTTAAATTTATATTTGAATTTTTGCAGCTTAACCAAAGAAATATTGCTAAATGTTTCACCTCCAACCACAAGAAGACAACATTAAAAATAAATTATATTTATACTATAATGAATATTTTAATGCAAATCAAAATAAATAATTCAATACTGTAATGATTAAATAAAAAAGCCAAACATTGGCTCGCATACTATATTTGGGGTAAATGCAAAGAAATGAGGTAAACAGTTTCTAAAATGAACATCTAATATCTTATTGCGAAAAAAAATACTTTAAATTTCTAACAAATACCTAGCGCTGAAAAGGCTATAAAAATGAGTAACAGGTTTTTAAAAAAATCAAATGCAACTTTTAAAAGTTATATAGAGATAAAATTGTGAAGCTAATTCAACTGAAATTATATGTTGAAGCTAGTCTTAAATGTAATTCGGTGTCTCTCAGATATAAAATCCATACGAATGCTTAGGTAATACTGCTTAAGCAAAGACATATCCCCCCCCTATAAGAAAGAGAACTGAAGCTTTAATGTCAGTCAAACACTTAATTTATAATAAAATATAATAACACTTTTTTTAAGGTACTACAAGTAATAGTAATATGGTGTAACAAAAGCAGTAACGTAATAATCAGACGGAAATGTACTGAAAATTCTTGAAACTACCGACGAGTTAGATTTTTAGCTTTTAATTTGTACTACGAATCAATATTCCAAAATTAAGTAAAATTTCTCCAATAAAACTAACAATATTTATCACTTTTTTAAAAACTTCTGCTGCCATAAATATATAATATGCCATGCTCAATACACGGAAACAGTAGGTTTCAATATAATAGCCTATCTAAATAATCGCAAGAATCACTATTAATAGTATATACAAAAATTTAATTTTTCAGAAGATTAGTATACAAAGTGAAATATAGAACTCACGGATGACAAAAGGTTAGCTTTTTCTAGTTTACGTCACGACGTCACAAGTGACACTCAAACCGTAACCAAATCATTGGGCACATTCCTCTTAAATTTAAAAAAAAAAAAAAGCATTAAATACCTACGTACAAGCACTTTCTTATTTATTAATTTAAATTTCGGCAAGAAAATAAATAATATTAAAATTTCATATGGTTGTCTTCCCGAAAGAGTCAATCACGTATTCGCAGTGGTTATTACCCAATTTCCTGGGTCAAGATCAAACAAGGATGTTAGAAATCTAACCTCCATGGCCAAAATTATGGAATTTAGAAAGGAGTTTATGCAAAGAATTTGAATTGGGAGAAGTAAAGCTTCAACATCACTGAAAAAAAAAAAAAAAAAAAAAAAAAAAAAAAAAAAAGAAAAGTTGAAACAAGGCCAACTAGATATGGGCCCATGGTTGCTGAACGATTGACCGAGATTACATCCCAAGTTGCCGCACCAGATCAACTTTGGCAACGTGTGGAAGCTGCTTGGTCTGCTGTACCCCCAAAACACATCCAAAGTCTCTTTGAATCGAAGCTGCGGCGTGTGGCAGCGGTGATCTCCAACAATGGGGCGGCTACTCTGGCTACTGATTCTGAAAAGAACCACACTTGTCAGAAGTCTATAAATTTAATCATTTGATACTTGGTCAACATGTTATCTACTAAATAAATTTTGTTGTGATATCTCTTGTCTTTCTTGGTTTTGCAATTTAGGTGGCCAGCAGTGTATATATATATGTGTGTGTGTGTGTGTGTGTGTGATATTTTAGCAGTCGTCGTGAAGCTTGGCATCAAAGTTCAGGCATTGCTGTGGCTGAGTGTCAAGGCGACATCAAATAACGACACAATAGGTTTTATAGCTCCATGCTTTACTTCAATTCAAGAAGCAGATAACTATTCGTCACTAAATAAGAGTACTTTAAATTTAATGCGTCATACTTTGAACAAAGAAAGGCCAAAAAAAAAAAAAAAAAAGCGAGTTTTGGTAGCTCAGGAGGAAAGGAGCTTCTGTTGTCGGTAAATGGCGCGCATTCGTTATTTATAGTTGCGGTTACGTAACAGGCTAGCGAAATCTAGAAGGTACTGGTCTAGGGGGAAGATACTAAATTGCAGAAAATTAATTAAAGGTTGCTGGTTGGCGTAGAGCAAAGCCATACCCACTCTGTTACTCCGCTCCGTGAGCTTAGTCTTTTTTATTCTTATATGCTGGTAAATTGCGCATTTATTGCTTTAAAATTTATGTGAGAAAAATAAAGAATATGTAGAAGAATAAATTAGCAGCTTAAATCCCTTCTGTCGCCTAGACGATATAGTGGTTATTGAAGCCCACTACGGTACCGAAGGGCCCGGTTTCGAATCCCGGAGAAGACCTAGATGTTTTTAAATATATAGTCTCGGCGGATTATCTAAATTAAAATTGGAATAAATTAAGTTCCCTCTTTGTATTTACCGAGTGGGAGAAAAGGAATCAGACAGTGCGGCCGCGTATTTCCAAACCCTACCAAGGCCAACTAGATATCTACAGGCCTGCTCCAATCTGATGATCACATGATCTGACGTCATAATCTTAGTCCTTCAATTTTGTAAGTTGACATTGCTTCGCCGTAGGACTAGTGCTAGTGAGATAATTGTTTACATGTGTTTTTTCTTCTGAAAAATTTTGTATTTTACCGGAAAGTAAAATATTATATTGTGAATTCGAATTTATAAGAAAAAGTGTGTTTTAGAATGCCAAGAAAGTGTAGTGTACCTAAATGCCGATCAAATTACGATAGCAGTAATGAACATGTGTCGACTTTCAAATTTCCTTCGTATCCTGTACTCTCTCAGAAATGGATAAAAAATATTAATCGCAAAGATTTTGTAGCTGGCAAACACAGTAGTGTATGCATTAAGCATTTTGAAGAAAAAATTTGTCGTTCGAGAAGATAAAGCTGTTCGTGATGATGGAACGGCATTAGTAATGGTTTTGCAAGAAAAATAGATCTTCCCTCTTCATGGATATTCATAACCAAAGGTAAGATCTTTTGGCTATCGAAATTAGAATTTTTAAACTGTTCAAAAGTGCTTGTATCTTTAAAAATATTGGACGATTTAAATGTAAGAGTTTTTTTTCAATGAAAATGAAATTCCCATTGAAAAGTTCAAATGGATATTTGGAGAAGAAAAAAAACTATGTGATAAATGGTTTAAACTTGAGACAGTGATTAGCCATTTGGATGGTTTTTCTGCTTCTGATATTCATGATGACTGCAATTTAAATTTAGATAAAATATCAGAACTACTGTTGAAATGTGCAGAAACAGAAAATAATCCACATTCTGAGAAATTTAAGTTTTTGTATGAACAGATTCAATTAATGCAAATGAAACAGCATTCGTATAGTGCAGAATTCTTTGCCTGGTCTTGTTATATATTTTATTGTAATCCAAACAGCTACAATATTATACGTAACAGTAAGTATTTTATATTGCCTCATCCGTCATACTTAAGGAAGTTATCTCTGAAAATTGGCCGAGCAGATTCTGGATTACAAACAAGTCACTGGATGTATTTGAAAAAAAAAAAAAAAATGTGAAATTTTAAATGATTCTGAAAAAATTGTCAATTTATTATTAGATGTGATATATATAAAACCACAAGTTTCGTATAAAAGTGGTCGTGTTTTAGGTTTTTCGGATAATTCGCAGATGGAGGCCACAACTCTGCAAACATTTATGATAAGCTATATTAGCAAAAAACAGATAATGTAGCAATGTTTCCCGTAAAAAAACTTATCACATCAATTATTAATATTTACAAAACAAGTAATTGACCATGTACAGTCTTGTGGCTATCGAATCATAACTCTAATATAAGACAATAATAGAATTAACAGAAATATGTTCAAAATGCTTTGTGGTGGTGCATTAAAATCCTCATTTATAAACCCTACCATGCATAATCTTCCTATATTTATTTACATTATTTGATACAGTTCATTGGTAAAAGTTTACAATTGGGTGCCCCTCGTTTATTGGCGATTCTTTCTTGACGCCAAGATCGGCGCCAGGAAGTCACAATTTCAAGATGGCCGCTACACAAAAAAACCAAAATAAGAAGTTGAAGAATTGCATAAGATCTGTGTCCATGTACACATCGATCTGTTTTTACTTAAAAAAACATCCTAGAATTGCACAAACTAGGCATTGCGCCTTAAATATGTCCATGTACACATCAATCTATTTTCATTTAAATAAAATCGGGAAGCTAAAACAAATTTAAAACTATTGTGGTAACCAGAAGTGAGGTTTCATCGCCAAAATTTTTTTAAAAAATGTCACCAATCGAAGGGGCACCCAATTCTACACTAAAGCCAGTTCATTTATCGAAATCTATACGAAACAACTGGTTCAATCAGAACGATTCAAACCAAACATTTTTTATACCGTCATTTGAAAACTCAAATATTGTTTACAATTCCAGTGTTCTACATTTAAAAAAATTGTATAAAATAGAAAAAAAAAAAGAAAAAACGATAATATTAAAATGGCTCCAACTTTATCAAGGAAAGTTTTATTTCCGTCTTCTATAGAGGAACAGAATGTAAGTACTGCTATTAAACTTTTTGATGAAAAGACTTTAGCTGCTCTGCAAATTGAATCGCAGAATAATAGAACTCGGTATGGAAAAGATGTCTTAAGAACTAAACATTTTATTGATGTAATTTTAAAGTGGTGGAAAATTGTGAATGTTAAACACTCTCTAAAAAGGCCTTACAGTTTCGAGATGTATTTATGCAGCCTATAAGGACAACAGAAGAAGATAAAAGCTTAGAATGTTTTATCACAGTTTTGTTCGTGGCTTATATCATGGAACGATTTTTGCCCAACAACAAAAAAAAATTGTAAGTCACAAATTGGGGAAACTGTCAAAGAAGAAGCCCAAGTTGCTCTTCTCCATACAACAGCAACATTGAATGAACTTTCAAAGTATTTGTTAAAAGAATTTAAATTACCTTTTATTCCTTCAGGAAAATTTCAGACAGATAACCTTGAGGGACGTTTTGGTCAATTTCAACAAATGAGTGGCTGTAATTATAATGTATCCTTACAGCAGATTATAGAGTCGGAAAGAAAACTAAAATTAATTAGTTTGCTTAAAATGCAATTTCTGAGAAAGGTTCATTTATTTTACAACATTTTTCTTGTAATGATATTGAAGATTTTAATGATGATCAACTTATTGATAAGGAATTTGGTGATGTTTTGCATCAATCCAACGATGTTAATGTTACAGAAAAAGATACAATGTGTCTAATTTACATTTCTGGATATGTTTGTAGATCTGTATTGAAGCATATAAATTGTAATCTCTCCAGGAAAAAATTAATTCTTGACAAAGAAATGATAGTTGAATATTGGGAAGATTTTGCGTACTTAGCTGCTATTGATCGAGGTGGTTTATTTTGGCCAACAGAATTCGTGCTTTTCATTAATACCTCTGCATTTAAAATATTTTCAATCCTAATATCTGAAATGTATGAGAAATTATATATTTCATCAAAAAATCAACATTCTATATTAATAAGTCTCATCACAGAGAAAGTTGAAAACAGGATTATTTGGAATGATAGTATTTGTGAATGTGGCAAATCATTGCATGATTTGTTGAAAAGTTGTGTCCACATGCATTTCCAATATATTGCAGAATATTTACTGTAAGGTTAAAAATAACAATTTAAAGGAAACCAATGACCAAAAAAGAAAAATGGGTAAATTAAATAATTCTGGAATTTAGGTGAATTTTTTATGTAATTTTAAAGTTAAATAATTAGTATTTGCAAACTGTGCATAACTGAGCCATAGAAACTTGCTGCTGCCTACTAGTGGCTGAGTGGTAAAATAGCTGAAAACTGATAGTTTGGTCTGGAGTTCCAATCTCGGCGAACGGGCTGGCTGATAATTACCTTATATGAGCAAATAGAATTGATAATTACCTTATATGAATGATCAAATAGAATCAAAAGTTAATTAAGTTTGAAAATATTGACAAGTGTGATAGAAGCTGATGAACCAACAAAAAGGAAGATGTTAATTTTAAAAGT